TTTTATCATAATGAAAAATGACCTACATTATTAGTGCGCTTAATGCGAATGGTCAAAGAATTACCCGATTTAAACGATTACTCAATACATAACTCTAATCTGTCCTGTAATTTCTTACGTTCATGTCATTTCCGTTGGTGATATTTTGAGGATTTATCATGCTATTAATGCTTAATAAAATAAATTTTTTTGTCAAATAATTTAAAATAAAAAAATGAAGAATTTAGAAAATATTAGTTAGTAATTGAACTGATATTAACAGAAAGGGCGGGAGTGAAGAAGAGAAGAGAAAATAATGAGGATGAGACGTGAATACACTATGTTTGCATTTTCCATAACATAGATGTCAATCTGTTGGCAACAAAAACGTTTTTAAAATTCCAACATTTTTGCATTTTTTTGCTCTCAACACTTTTCCATTTTTTAAAGAACAAATGATTTTTGCATTCTTTCGTTCCAATATCTTCCTCTTATCTGTTTATCAAATGACCATATATGATATACAAATACTTTATTGATTATATACGTCACGTCATTTATTTGTTTACGCAATTTCAGTTACTCTCTTATAGCTTGTTTCACATTTCTGCTATGCTGTAAATACAATATATTCCTAGTATCACTTATGAATTATAATTTTAGAAATTTCTTAAAATCTTCCATTTTAACTTTTTTTTCTTTCAATTTAATGTTCTTTCATTTGTCTTAAATTATATTTTTCTATAATGAGGAAAAATTTCTCTAATATGCAATCATTGATAATTAAGAAAAATTTTTAGTAAATGAGACAAGTCAAAAGCAATCACCGAATTACCTAAAGATTTGAGAAGATTGGTTTGAGCCTCTTATGAATGATGAGTTAAATGCTGAAAAGAACGCAGAATCCATAAAGATAGATGTCCAGGGGAGTCTGCTGTCGGCATAATTTACCTATAGAAAGAAGTTTAAAGTGACTGATGTGTCGCAGAAAAAGACAGAGAGGTCATTTCACCCTAAGCTATCATCTCTAACTTAATATTAACTAGTAGCTATTTTTTGCCGGCCACCAATTAAGTAATTATTCCTTTACATAGACAATACAAAACTTACTCCATTTAAATTAACTCGTTTATATGATGAATCATTAAAAGTGACCATGAAGTTTTGATAATAGCGTATCAGCGCAATATTGACTTTTTTTATTTAAATTCTCAAGTTTATATCTGTATGAATTGAATTTAATGGTAATCATGAAATTCCCTCCTAAGTAGACTTTTATTTCGGTCCAATATTTGTTTCATCAGAAAACAAAGATGAAATCTTTTTATTTTTTCTTCAATGCAGTACTGAATTCTTTTGTTGGACTCACGAAACTACTGATTTGTTCCATGTGAAGTTTTTGACAATGCAGAAGTAGGGTTCAAGTTTCCAACGAATGACGATGATGATAATAATGATGATGATGATGGTGATGATGGTGATGATGATGATGATGATCTGCTAGTTGAATTTTATTCTCATTCATGTATACTTGAACATAAGAAGAGGCAAGAAATAGACAAGGAGAAATAAGAAGGACCGATAGAGATAAATGTATGTTCTAGAACGAAACTTTTTCACACCTTCACTTTTCTCGACTATTCGTTGAAAGTAAAACAGAACAATAATAGAGTAGAATAGCGATGGAAAAAGCCTGATAGTAGAATTAGGAAAAAGAAATTTACAAGATAAGCTACGAGAAACGAGAGAGGGGCAAATAAGTGAGGTGTGATGCGTTGGAAGAGAGAGTTTCGCCTTTTTTTTAAATCCGCAACCTCTGAAACAAACGTATATCATCATTATGTTGATATGATTTCCAGCAATGGTTTACTGGCCATCTGCAAAAAAAATTGTGTAATAATCGGTCGGCCTATATATCAACAAATTTGTTTGAAGATATATACTTTTCTCATCATCTTGCTTTTTCCTCTCCTTGCTTACAAGCATATGCGATAAGCTCTTTACTGATTTATTGGGGTTGCAGAAATGACATCGTCAATAAATTTTGTTTGATGGAATTTTAGGCGTTAAATCAAACTTTAGTGTTTCAATTTTTATAAACAGAAAAAGATCAAGTAAATAAACAAAGAAACGTTTAGCCCAGCAAAAACATATGTTAGTTTATTTAACAATGTTTTTCATGAAAAAAAAAGCATTTTCATGGTAATCTCATAGCCCCAATAACAGCTGCATTAGTTTATCCGGAAATATAATGATGAACTTTTGAGATGAAGCTCAATGCCGCATCACTTCACTACTGTAATCATTGCTTGGGGATTTAGGGAATTGCGGCTGATTTGAAAATTTGCACCCATCTTGGTTAGGCAAATGATTGTCCATTGGGAGAAAATTACTTATCGAGTGAGAAAAGCATCCTTAGTGACACAATCTGAAAATCTCATCCAGGAATATGATAAGAAATAAAATGTCTTGCAATTGAGCTAGCTTTACATTATTAAGGTAAGCGTATAATCAAGTTGCCCATCCAAATTAATGTGCATATCAAATGGCCAATTTTGTGAAATCGAATCTTTTTTGCTAAATTAAAATTGTTAAAGTGACGTAAAAAAATGACAGTTGAAATTTTTGGACAGTTTAAATTTGTGCCGTTTCACACAGCTTATCACTTTATAAAATCAGTACATAATGAAGAGCAATTTCATCAAAAATTCGGAAAACAATTTGTTTTGATGAGGTCAATACTATCAAAATGAACATTGAGTTGGGCCGGGAAACTGATGAAGTATGAAGGACGGGGGGAGGAGGGAAACAGAGGTGGAGATAGAGATGAGGATTGACTATTCTACAAAATAACAAAAGCCAAGTTTAAAGGTTAAAGGTATCAGGCCAGAATACCAGACTACTTTCATCCTCTTCCTCATCCTCACATTCCACTATTTTATTTTTAATCTATTCAAAAAATGATAGAAATTTCATGACAGTGTGTTAATATTTAATACAGTGTCACAAATTGTTGTAGAGTGATTTGAAGTACGGCGCAAAATAGTGCGATAAGGGAGAGGTTGATTGGTTGAAAACGACGCTTGCGACTCCACCCCCAAATTTGCACTCGCTATTGGGAATGAAAATGAAGTATAGAGAGGGAGAGAGAGGAAAGGGAGGAAGAGGGGGAGGATCTCTCCCGAGCAATCCACCACCTTCCGCCTCACACTTTGATAGAGCAATGCGGGGGAAGAGGGAAGAAGGAAGCTTCCCCTCATCACCGCCGAGCTCGATTAGTTGTAAAGATGGAATCGATGGGACGACGAATGGCTCTATAGATGGATGGATGGATGGATGGATGGATGGATGGATGGATGGATGAATGAATGAATGAATGAATGAATGGGTGGATGGATGGAAGGGTGAATAGATGGACGATGAATGGATGGATAGATAGACGGGGTCCTTAGGTCTCCCGTAAACTTCGAGTTAATTTCGAGTAAGCCTGGAACAATCTCGCAGAAGTTTCATTTGTGAGCGGTGACAATCTAAGCTGGCAATAGATAAAAGTCGCTTTTCAGTGGTATAAGTATTATTTTGTTACCAGGCTGATGACAATGATGATAATGATGATGGTTACGATAAGAACGATTATGATGGTGATAGTGATGATAGTGGTTTGTACATGTTCGATCTAAAACTGATAATGGCCTTTTAAGAATCATCATGAGGGAGGAGAGCCAATTGACTTTTAAGTGTTACTTTACCACATAGGGAAAGGTTTTTATCATGATTGATCAGATAATGGCGGCGAATATCATGTTATTGTTATCGCAAACAGAATTTGTTGTAGATTTGGTTTGATATGGGAGGTCCAATTAATCTACAGGAGGGGTAAGGTGCAAACTGATCCGATAACTTTGGTATTCCAAGTGATCCATTGTATCTACAACGCAATACCTGGTATTCTTCGATCTTTCAATCATAATTATGTATATCGCGACACATCACATATACTATCGTTCATATAATCGTTGCAATACTACAATAGCAATGTATTTCTGCATATCTGATAACAGTCCAAGAACCGAATGCTAACCACCACAACAGCAACCAAATATTATAGGGACAGGTGTAGGAATTGCATTAAAATAAGAAACATGAAATCCATTTCAGGAATAACTTCGAAAAGTAACTGATATCTAAAAAACAGCTGAAAATGTTTGGTTCGGGATGAACATAGCAACACCATCACGGCGCCTCACTACAACATATATGTTTTTCTCGAAAATATACCCAAATTTATGCACCATCCGCACGAGCACTTCCCATTCAATCGGTCATCGGGATATTTGTCTCTGTCCGTTCGTCTGTCTGTCTACTTGTTCGTCTGCCCATTTGTCTGTCTGTTGGTTATTCATATTGTTATCAATGAATTGCTAATGCTGTAAGTGATATTCATAACTTTTTTGTTCATCAAGCATACCTGACATTTTACTCTTCTAGAATCAAAATGATTTGGCTTAATTTGAAATGTAGAATTTGGGCCATTATGAAAATTGAAAAAAAGTAAAATTGCTTTTTATCTAACTATTTTCTTTTTTTTTGAATGCTTCATACTAATTTTGAATGAAGAGTAATTTCCACCAATCACTCTGATTTTTGCAAACACCGAAGTCCTCGTGTTTTACAAAACTCTGGACGTTGCAATCATTTTTTTTTTGCCTTTTCTAACTTTCGTCTTGTTTTAATTTGCAAAAATTCACAATCCGTTGCACTATTGAGCCGGTCTTTAATATAATGCCATATTTGAAACAATGAAACGATTATGGCTAGTGAATTTTTTGCCACATTCTGTCCTTATATTGCATAACTTTTTTGAAAATATTAAGCGTTAAATATATTGTGCACGGAATATTTCTGAAAATTCAAAATTATAAAAAATGCATATTTTAGAAAAGGACTTCGAATTATTAGAACATCAAGCTGGAACAAAGCAAGGTTAAATAACAGTGTGCTTTTCTATACATTCTGTGGAAATGGAGTATAAGTTCCAACCAAATAATGTGGGTCATCCTGGTGACTTATATCAACCTATCCAATCAATTCAAGAGACAGTTATTGATGCTAATCAAAATGTTCCGGTTAACGATCTCAGCACATTGCAAATGAGTAGCAATACTCAAAGTCAGGATACTACTAATCCTGTACAAAATGATGATTCTGTAGGCGTTCCGTGAATTTTCTTTTAATTTTGAATTTAGGAAATGAAAATTAAAACTTTTCTTCTCTCATGAACAAGAGTTAATTTTTAATTTAGAAAATCATTGACAACATTGAAGCGTTTTAATTCGTTTTCAAAGAACAGTTCTCACCGCTTTGCCTTTATGAATTAAGCAAGCAATTGTATTTGTTCACAGGTGTTCTCACCGATTAAACCCTCCACCTTTTATTCGAATCCAACACAAAATGGTCAATTATATTACCAAGGAACACCGAAAATGCCGGATAGTTACGGTATGCAAATTTTTCCGAGTATTTCACAGAATCTTTTAAAAATTAAATTGTTATTATTCTCACGTTTGCACAATTTTTAGCTACAGGTGGTCAATTTTATCCGAGTCTTTTTTTTCAAACGTGGCCTTACCCGAGCGCAACAGCTAATTCATCGGTTGCTGCTACAATTGCTGGAGCATCACCCTGTTCCTCCAATGCTACTGAATTAAGCTTTACGCAACCAACTACTGTTATCACAGATCCTACTCAAATGCTTGTTGGTTCGTATTCAAATTTAAATTTTTTATCAATTTCCTAAATTAATTATTTGGAGCAAGGTAAATAATGAAACCCTAATTAGGCAAATTTCGAGTCAAAATATGAAAATTCATAATGATTTAATGAATATATCTGGCACTTTCCAGCGCCCAATCAGACAGCAACACAGAATTTCTTTCCTCAAACATATCAAGCTTATTCAACGACGGATTACTATAATCCATTGCACAGTGCAAATCTGCTAGCAGCACAAAGTCGCTTAACAGCTCCCACAGTGGCATGCTCATCGTCCGGTTCTGCTTCATCCAGGTCATCCACCGGTGTTTCTGGCGCTTCTCGTTCCAAAACTAGAAATTTTGCATGTAAGCAATTTGGTGTAAATATCTTGCCCTTATAAACTTAGAACGGAAACGTCTCATTCCTTATAATTAAATTCAATTTCTCAGAAACATGTACCTTAATTTCATGATGAGTTGTTCACTAGTAAAGACAAAAACTGAAGATTTATAGCAGTAAACAATTTGCTAATAACCTGAAAATCCTAAACGATTTTTGTTTGAGTGAGTAATAATATTTCGAAGAAAATAAAGTATTAATGCAGTTTTAGACCTATTATCCAGTAAATGGTGGAAACGTGTCACCACTTATATTCTTTATGATCATTTTAACTAATTCATCATCGTCATCTGTTATAATTACTGCTCATGTATTTTGCAGCAGAAGGACGGGAATGTGTCAACTGTGGCGCCGTTCAGACCCCTCTATGGCGAAGGGATGGTACTGGTCATTACTTATGCAATGCTTGCGGACTGTATCATAAAATGAATGGACAAAATCGTCCACTGGTTAAGCCTAAGAAGAGACAGGTAATATGACTTGAATTTGCTTCTGTTTTTTTTTTTTTGTTCACAAGAAATTTCGAACGATTCATGCAAAAATTTTAAATTATAAACAATTTATTTATCTCACTGTCTGAGTCTTTATATTCTTCATTCGTTCATTATTTAATTCATTCAATGAACGATTTAACGAATTACTTAAGTTCCTAAATAAACCAATCTCTTCTTAAAAATCTGATCTGTAGCCTTAAGACTATATAGTGTATGTAAGGTGTCATGGTATGGTAATCTGGTAAAAATACCGTACCAAAAAAAGAATAAAATGAGAAAAAAACAGTTTAAATGCTTTAAAATCTAACAATTATCGCAATCTCATTTTTTTGTCGGCTACGATATCAAGCGTTCTTATCAGCCAAACATATATTAATATATCATCGTATCGCTGTGATAAATCTTTGATATATTAGGAGTAATGACAATGACAATAACCGATAACAATCATTCAACTGATTGCCATTAATTTACTCGATGAGCTAATCTATCTTACTTTTATATGGTTTAATTTATCATTTGTTATTTCGATAATTTTTGAATTCAGCTCATCAATAAACATTTTCTATAATTGCATCACTAAGGAGTTTAAATTTCGATCCATTCATTTTTTAGTACAACTGTTGTCGATAATGTTGCCATTCAAATTTATTGACAGATTCAGAAATTGAAATGAGTATATTTGATTAATGATATCTAAATCAATTAAAAGATTCAAAATTTGAATCTTTACCATAGAAAATGGAAGTGTTTCTTAAATGCGCATTTGCAATAGATAATGTTTAAAGAAAAGAAACATTTTCTAACTGCAAATAAGGCTACGGTACTGTGCCATGCAGGAACCAGTTTTTCACTCATTCTCTCACCTTTTTGTTAAAAAATTTGGCATTTCATCCAATTTCACTCATTTCTCATTGAAGGGCAGTGATTCTAGTTCAAATGATTACTAACTGTAAAAAAATTCATGCAAAAAAGTTCGGAATATTAATAATGTAAAGTTTCTCATACTAAGTAAATAAGTGTTGAGAATCAAATCATTAACATGACGATATATTTTTGCTTACCTTAAGGATGTCTATCACTTTTTCTAATTTGCATAAATTTCTCTCAGTCAACTCCAAATGTTTCAGCATTTTTCATAGTATCTGTAATCATGCTTTCTAATATGACAGTTTGCAATTTTAGCTAAAGCTCTGAATTTTAGTGAAAATTAGGACAAACAATTCATATCTAAAATTGTAGCATAATGATTATAAAATGAATGAGTAGTCGAAAAAAGGAAGGTAGAGGAAATAATTAACTGAAAAAGAAAAAATGAAGAAATAAAAGTCGAGTGAAATGAAGGGAAGAGAAAATTGGGAGGTCATTATTTTATTGAATTTGTCAATCTGATCCGTAGAAGTTCTCTTTAAG